GTTCAGGGTAGTATCTAGTCGAGCACTCTCGACTAGAGTTTTCTTACTTGTTAAATTTTTGTTTTGTTTTCTTAATATTTTATTATACCTTTTTTTATTTATTTATTTTAAATAATTTCTATTTGATTTATTATTATTGTTTTTATTTATTCGTTCGCTTTATTTTTATTTTATTTATTTATTTTTTAACGATTTATTTTCTGACTTCAATGGCTTAATTTATAAAGGAACTTTAACCCATCTCTCTGGTAAAACTCATATAAAAATAGTGTGGATGAATTGTAAAATATAAATAAAAGATATATATATATACATATATATATAATGAAAATGTAATGCAAATTATATTTATGCTTATTTTTTGTAACTTTCTCAACTTGCAGGCGTGTCCAGTGGCAGCCAGATTGGGAGACACTGTGGACAACTGAAGAGTAGTGGATCGAGTAGCAGTAGAAGGAGAGGAGAACACATTCAAGACGCCCATTCCCCCACACAGAACGATGGCGGCTTCGCCGACTCCGTCGCTGGACTCCATGCGCGGGGCGAACTCGATTGAATCGTATGAGCACGCCGGCTACCTGTCGGACTCGCCGCTGACACTGAGCGGGTCGTCGCCGCCGGTGAGCGATTCGGCGATCTGCAGCGATGAGTATATAGCTGGCAGCCAGGTCAGCGTGAAGGTGCGCCAGGATGTCACTGTCATCAATGGGCATCATCCGATATCGGCCTCGGTGTCGTCTAGCTCGTCGGCCAGCTCCTCATCCTGCTCCTCCTCGTCGTCGTCGTCCTCGTCGTCGTCCAGCTCATCGACCAGCGGCCTCAGCGGCTGCGGCAGCACCAGCAGCAGCGTCCTCAGCGGCTCGAATGGCAACGGCAACAGCAATAGCAACAGCAATGGACACGGTCCCGGCGTTATCGGCAGCAATTTGCCCAGCAGCAACGGCAACAGCAACAACAACAGCAGCAACAGCATCAGCAGCCTGGTCGTTGGCGCTGGCAAAGGCAGCAACAGCAACAGTGGCAGCAATGGCAGCAACAACAGCAATAGCAGCATGAACAACAGCAGCAGTAGCCTCGCCCCCGCTCGCTGCACCGCCTGCAAGAGCAAGTGCAGCGATGCTGTGGCCAAGTGCTTCGACTGCCAGAGCTATCTCTGCGCCAACTGTGTGACCGCGCACGAGTTTATGCACTGCTTCAACGGCCACAATGTCTCGCTGATCAAGGGTTTCGAGGCGACAAGCAACGCCAGCATGAGCAACTGCAGCAACAATCCAGCCTCCAACGACTTCAAGTACGCCAGCTCACTGACAATGATGCTGCAGCAGCAGCAGCAACAGCAACAACAGCAGCAGCAGCAGGCACAGCTGACAGATGCGCAGCCCATGTCGCAGCTGTCGAAGATTGTGCTCGCGGCAGCAGCAGCAGCCAACAACTCACAGGACCAGCAGCAGCAGCAGCATGAGACACTCTACTCCGCACACTTGCAGCAGCAGCAGCAGCAGCAGCAGCAGCAGCTACAGATCTTCTGCTTGCGTCACAAGCACGAGCTGCTGAAGTTCAGCTGCCGCACCTGCTGCACGCTGGTGTGCAAGGAGTGCATCGTCCTGGAGCACTCGACGGGCCTGCATGAGCTCGAGAATGTGCAATCGCCTGCTGTGGCCGCAACGAGCAACGGCAACGGCAACGGCAACGGCAACTGCAACGGCACCAACAGCAGCAGCAGCACCTCGAGCAGCGGCGGCTACAATGAGACAGCGCTGCAGACGCTGCTGGCCGATATGCGGGGCAAGATTGGCGAGATTATGTCGGTGGCCAGCAACGCCGAGCAGAGCGTGACCAAGGTCAAGCAGCAGTACCAGAAGGCGCACAACGAGCTGAACGAGACGCATCAGTTCTTTGCCTCGATGCTGGATGAGCGCAAGAGCGAGCTGCTCAAGGAGCTGGAGACGCTCTACACGGCCCGCGTGAACACCAACGCGGTCTGGCTGCAGCGCGCCAAGGAGATCATTGACAAGGGTTTGGCCACCTGCGAGGCGGTCGAGCGCTCGCCCGCCAACGGCGTCCAGTCGCCGCTGCTTGCTGAGGCGCTGCTGCTGCGCAAGCAGCTCGAGCAGCAGCTCCAAGCGGGCGTCCAGGACATGCAGCTGCCCTTCGAGCTGGAGTTCATGTCCAACTACCAGTCGATACAGGCGGGCGTGCGCAACACCTTTGGCTATGTACGGGCCAGCAATGGCGGCGGGCCTGGCAGTGGCAGCTGCTCCGAGTCGAGCCTCAGCCTGGGCCACAGCCACAGTCACCTGGGTCACACTCACAGTCACGCTCACAGTCACGGCCAGAGTCACGGCAAGCAGCCGCCGATCGCACGGCCCACGCAGAGCGCGAGCAACAGCAGCGCCAGCAGCGCGGGCAGCCATCATCACCACCAACAGCAGCAGCAGCAGCAACAACAGCAGCAGCATTTTCTGAAGCTGGAGCAGCAACAATTGCTGCCGGGCCTGGGCCTGGGCAGTCTGCTGGACAACAGCAGCAACGGCAGCAGCAGCAACGGCGGCGGCAGCGTCTATGCGAATGGCTGCCTCCTGCTGGGCGGACGCGAGCGCAATCTGAGCGATCTGCAGCACTTTGGCGAGCTGCTGCCCAAGCGGGCCAGCAGCATGGCGCACTACAATCCCTACGAGAAGTGGAGCAATGGCGGCAGCGACAATCTCTTCAGCACGTCAGCAGTCGCCACGCTTGGCGGCGTCGGCAGCGCCGGCAGCGGCAGCAGCTCGGCTGTGGTGGATGCCTTTGCCAGTCTGTCGTCGGCAAACCTGAATCTGAATGGCAATGGCAATGGCAGCGCGGTGAGCAGCGAATCTCTGCTGGATCTGACCAGCAAGCTGTTATCGGCCTCCATTTATCCGCCCAAGTCGCAGATCAAGCGCCAGAAGATGATCTATCACTGCAAGTTCGGGGAGTTCGGCGTGATGGAGGGCCAGTTTACGGAGCCGAGCGGCGTGGCGGTGAATGCCCAGAACGATATCATCGTGGCGGACACGAACAATCATCGCATCCAGATCTTCGACAAGGAGGGACGCTTCAAGTTCCAGTTTGGCGAGTGCGGCAAGCGGGACTCGCAGCTGCTCTACCCGAACCGTGTGGCCGTCGTGCGCAACTCGGGCGACATTATTGTGACCGAGCGGTCGCCGACGCACCAGATCCAGATCTACAATCAGTATGGACAGTTTGTGCGTAAATTTGGGGCCACGATCTTGCAGCATCCGCGCGGCGTCACCGTCGACAACAAGGGACGCATCATTGTGGTCGAGTGCAAGGTGATGCGCGTCATTATCTTCGATCAGAATGGGAATGTGCTGCACAAGTTCGGGTGCTCCAAGCATCTGGAGTTCCCCAACGGCGTGGTGGTCAACGACAAGCAGGAGATCTTCATTAGCGACAATCGGGCGCACTGCGTCAAGGTGTTCAACTACGAGGGCCAATATCTGCGCCAGATTGGCGGCGAGGGTATCACCAACTACCCCATCGGCGTCGGCATCAATTCCAATGGCGAAATTCTCATTGCGGACAATCACAACAATTTCAATTTGACGATCTTCACGCAGGACGGGCAGCTGATCTCGGCGCTGGAGTCGAAGGTGAAGCATGCCCAGTGCTTCGATGTGGCGCTCATGGACGATGGCAGCGTTGTCCTGGCCAGCAAGGACTATCGCCTCTATATCTATCGCTACGTACAGCTGGCGCCTGTGGGTATGTAAGCAGAGAGCCTTCTTCACACACAGACATTGAAAAAAGAGAAAAGAAAATGAAAAAAAAAATTAAAAATAATAATAATTTACAGATATATACATATATCAATGATCAGATCAGAAATATTTGATTTGTGAATCATTAATAAACAAGTTGGCAATTCTGACTTGCGCGCTCTCTATCCCCCTTCCCCCCTCTCTCTCTCTTTCTATCTATCTGACTCTCTGTCTCTGTCTGTCTGCCTGTTTCTCATAGCATAGCATAGCATAGCAAGAACTCTATCTCTCTCTGTCTCTCTTTTATATATTATAGAAACTTACATTTATATTATTAACTTTTTAAATTATTGTTGAATTTTGTTTTATTTTTACACTGTGTTAAGACTTAATGTTTTTTTTTTATATTTTTTATTTGTGTATTACTTATTTTTTGTTTAATTTGTTCACAAAAAAAAAATCGACATCAACAACTCGAATGGCGCCTTTGCCGTGCCACACGCCCCCGCGGCAGTTGCAAGTCTCTTTATTTTATATATATATATAAATAATACACAAAAAATAAGAAATCCAGAAAGCAAATCCCTCCACTTTTATTTATGTTCGCTCGTCAAACAAATAAAAAAAAAACTAAACTAAAAATCTTAAAAAAAAAGAATGAAAAGAAAAAAAAAATAGTTTTTAATGAAATGCTTCAACAATGGACAAATAAATAGTTCGAGCATTGAAACAAATAATTTTTATTAATTGTAATCTTAAGTAAAGCGCAAAACTGTTTTGTTATTATTTTTGAACATATAAACAAACAACAAAATGAAAAAACAAGAGACAAGAAAAATTTTGATATAAAAATATATATATATTGAACTGTTTTTTATGTTTATAAATTATTTTTTGATTGTAAATTTATTGATTACTGATTATTTATATGCATACGTGTATCTTTATTATTATTATTACTACTTATATCTATTATTATTATTATTATATTATTATTAAAGCTATTATAAAATGTTTGCTACTTTTTTAACAACAACAACACACAACTTTTTTATACTCGCTTAGTTTTTATGTTTGATTGTTTTATTTTTATTATTATTACAACATAAACAACAACCAACAAAACAATAATAATAATTTATATATCTAAATACAACAAATTTGCCGCTGCTTAATTTGTAAAACACACAAAAAAACCTAAAATAGCTACAAATTATTCTTGTTCTGAATTGATCGGCAGAAAAGGATATATATATATTTATAAAAGTATATATATATGTATTGAGCATGGTCAATTTAATTTATTTATATATATGTTTTAGTATTTGTTTAAAGCATTTCGCTTAACGCTCAAGAGAATTTTCCAAACGTTGTTAAAAGTTAAAAAAAAAAAAAACAAAATATACATATATATAAAAAGTGACGTTTACTATAAAATTAAAATAACTATTTGTTGATAGTGTTTTACGCATTGAAACTGAATTTCCAAGAACATGATTTAAAAAATAAAAATAATAAACAAGAATAATGATAAACAAAAATTAGTTGGCAATCAGCGCAGAAGACTTAAACGATTTATTATAAACGATTACTATTAACAATTATATATATATATATATATATTTGCATAATATATATAACTTAAGTGTAAAACAAAATCTCAACTAAACGAAACTTTCTCAAAAAACCCCCCAAAGTAAAACTCGAAAAGTAATTCAAATCTTGCTAAAGAAAGAAGAAGCAGACGGAAAAAGGCATCCAATATTGAGTTGAAGTTTGCAATAATTTTAAGCGCTTTGCTATGTGTTCCAATTATTAATAATTATATTCACAGTTCAGAACCGAGTTGTGAATAGCTGAAAGAGGAAAATAAAAAATAGTTACGAATAATAACAATAATAATAATAATAATATTAAACAGCAGGCATTAATTAATTAAATTAGAACATTTTGAGACTACAAAACGCAACAGTAACAGGAACAGCATTTAAAAAATGTTTATAATTTTATTTGAGTTATTATATAAATATAGCTCTATATATAAAGAGAGAAAGCAAAACAAAAAATATATATATTTAGTATTTGTTTATTAGAATTTATTTAATTATTATTTTGTTTCATTATTATTTCGTCTGACTTGTTTTTGATGCTTGAAAAATGTTTCACTTTTTGTGTAATTTGTAATTTTGCATTTTTTTTTGGAACTTAACGTTCGTTAAGTGAGATTATTAAATATGTAGGTTATGTAACAGACACACATGCAAAGCAATGCATACACACGCACGCACACAAATGTCTGTGTGTGTGTGTTTCTTAATATTAATGAAATGCTTGTTGTAAACTATAAACTAATTGAATTCAAGTACTGTAATATTATATGTAACTCTGTATGTGTGTGTGAGTAGCTGTAATGTAATGGTAAACAAAAAACGACAACAACAAAGTATTGTACATTTCTTGTGAGAACTTTTTACTTGACACCAAAACTGAATGAAAAAAAAACTGTTGAAAATTTTTTATATACTTAAAAATTGTTAACTGCTAATTGATGGTATTTATTATGGCCTATATATATATATGTATATGTATATATATATATATACATAATATTTAATTGTATTTATTATTATTATTCATTAGCGTATTTAAACACTTGCACAACAAGAAAGCAAAAAACTATACAAAAAAAAAAAAAAAAAAGAAAAAAAAAAAAAAA